GAGCCGCTGCCCAGCGCAGGGCAGCGGGGGCTGCGCGGGGACACTTGGCTCCAGGCCCCGGCCCTGGACGGGAGCCAAGCACTGTGGGCAAGAAGAGCCCCGGGCATTTTTATTCCTGCTTCCAGCTCCACGTTGAGTGCAAAACAGCGAGTGGACAAAGGGCTATCAATACCTGCCAAGCTGCGAGGGGAAGTGCGGCCCACTTAGCCGCCTGGGCATCGATTTTCACCTGCTCGTGTTGATGAAGCTGCATTCGCACGTAGTGATAAATCCATTAGACAAACAGGACACTCCATTATTCACAGCGTCCACGGTGCCCGGCAGGGGCCCTGCACGGTGGCTGGTGCTGCAGGACTCTGCCCGGCCCTGGGGAGCTGGCGGAGCTGGTGGGTGGACGAGTGGGCAGATCTTGCCGGAGATTGGATGCCACGTGGGGGAGGAGAAGGGCCCTGGGGCCTGGAGACTCTCGTTGCGCTCAGGGGTGATAGGCAGGTCTTGTTTCCACCTCCCTTCTTGCACTTGACCTTGGGGCCTTGAGTGAGGACCTGTCTTTAAGGCTCCAGACTCCACACAGAGGGGTTTTCTCTTGCACCCCGACCCCTGCTCAAAGGCGCCGTGAGAGAGGCAGTGGCCATGTCCCCCTTCATGTTCAGAGGTGTTTCAAGTGACTTGCTTAAGGCCTCACTGAGGCCGCAGAGCCAGGGGCAGCGCCCAGAAAGCAGATTTCTCACTCTGTAACCGGACAGCCAATGGGTCCGGGCTGCCTGTCACTACTTGAGCCGATTCGGCAGGGACAGGGTTGAATCATATATGAGCGTTTATTCTAATCCTGCCGGCAGTATGGAGAGCAGCGGGTCATCCACAGAAATCTGCTCTGAGCCTACCATGAGCCAGCTGCTTATACTGGGTAGAAGGATGAGGATGACAAGGGGAAGCAGGCAAAAGGGGTAAGAATGGGTATGCAGCATGGGTATGCAGTTTACAGGTGATGCTGGCTGAGGGTTTGCAAAGGCCTGGGGTTATGCAAAGGGCTGGCGCCTCTGGTTTCTGCGACAAGGTTGTTCATCTTCCCATGATAATCGGCAGCTCCCGGATGGGGAGGATGCGCCCCATTTCCAGGTGAGCTCCCAGGTCCCGCGTGCAACTCCCAGCCAGATTAGAATGTGCCTTCTTCAGTCAGAACAAAACAACCACTGTTAACAGAGCACGATGACTATTTCTTACAATTCTAGCTGGTCCCCGGTGTTCTATCTGTGCCCCTCACAACTCCAGCTCCGGGCGGAGCCTGCAGCAAGGGGCTTCTCTGTGCCTCGGCTGGTGGGAACAGTAGTGCCACTTTTGACGTCACCAAAAATAGGGACGCAGCTGAGAAGTTGGTGTGACCCGGAGAATGAGAGCAGGGCAGGAGTTTAGGGTTGGCCCGAGACACATACACAGCAAATGGCACCCCATTTCCCTGGGAGAGGGGTGCCGGGCCTGGGTGCCAGTGGGCACAGTGGCCACAGTCTCAGGCACAAAACCCCCTGAGGGGGTGTTGAGTTTCCAGAGAGGAAGGCACACCAGGGTGATGAGACCCCTGCGTGGCCCAGGATCAGAGTCTCAGGAGGGGGATACAAAAGCCCCTGTGTGGGTGCCGGGCACTGTGGGAGCCTTTCCAGCCTTGGACATCCCACCTCTGTGTGAACACCTGGGCTCAGGTGCCAGGTGCCTGAGCCCACACAGAATTCAGTGCTACACCACTCCCCGCTCCACCCACCACCCACTCTGCCCCAGGGCGGAGGGAACAGGGGCTGGGGTGAGTGTGTGGGTGATTCTACTCTCCCCTGCCAGGTCCTAGAGGAAGGACCCAGATTGCTGAGCCAGCTGGCATTTGCTGCCCTCGAGACTCAGAAGCGAGGGCGGGAGCTGGACCAGCAGTGAGGCTGCAGGAAGGCCTGGGGCCCGGGGAAATCAGGCTTGGTCTGCAGGCGCTGCCTGCAGGAGGCCTCGCCTGATTCCTCTCACAGCTCCCTCCCTTCTGCCCGGGTCCCGGCAGCGCGGTGAGCACACACCCTGCAGGACTCATTGGCACTTTCTTTTTTAAAAAAATATATTTTTATTGATTTCAGAGAGGAAGGGAGGAAGGGAGAAAGGGAGAGAGATAGAAACGTCAATGATGAGAGAGAATCATGGATCCCCTGTCTCCTGCATGCCCCACTCTGGGGATGGAGCCTGCCACCTGGGCATGTGCCCTGACCGGCAATCGAACCGTGACCTCCTGGTTCATAGGTCGACGTGCAACCACTGAGCCACGCCGCCGGCCGGGCAAATTTGAACTTTCTTTGTTTGCCCTTCCTCCTCAGCCTGAGAGTGAGCACGGAGCGAGGATCTGGGCTTTGTCTCCTTGGCCTGCCTGCATCCACCGTGAGCCTCTTCGTAATCGCTGGAGGCTGCCGTCCCCAGGTCAGCGTCACTTTAACCCTGAATCTAACAGGAACCACAGACAGGCACTCACCCGGCACGGGAAGAAGCTGCCGGCAGAATCCTCCGCTTGGTGCAGATATGGACCCTTCCCTCCAGACGTTCACAGGTTCTTAGTGACAGTGACAGTCTGTCTGCGATTCGGGGCTCCCCGCTGTCCCCTTCCCTTCCTGGGAGATGGGAGACTGACGTTCAGGCCTCCTGGCCGACAGACAGGCGTGTGGCTAGGTTGGACCGAGAAAGGCCGGCAGGAGGGAGCTGGGTCCCTTCTGGGCAGAGGCTGTGGGAAGCCTGGCTCCAGCCCTGTCTCCTGGCCCCCGCGAAGGTGGAGCCTGGAGGGGGGACATGGCAGGCCCCCTCGCCTGAGTCGCGTGGACTGTGTGTGGAGCCACTGCCCGGGCACTGCTGCCCTGAAGAGCTGCTCAGACTCACAGGGGCCCTGGCGTGAGACTCACACGTTCGCTGCAGCGGGGCTCTGACACGGAGCTGTCCGACAGGCGGCCTTACCCAGCCCGCCCCCCCACACACAGATGTGCAGGCTCTGATTCTGATAGAGGGGACCTATAACCTGATAGAGCACCTGAATTAATCTGAAAAGTAGTCACATTCTTGTAAATCTTAGAACACCTATCCTTATGTGAGCAGGGGGTTAACTTTCTCAGATGTGACTAGGGGGTTAAGTTTTTCTCAAGTTTCCTTTTCAAGGCCTGGGCGATGCGATGGAGGAGGTGACTCAGCTGTGAATCCAGCAAGCAGAACCGGTAAGCAAGGTCAGGCCGACCCACCAGGAGTCAAAACATCATCTCGTCAACATCATCTCATCGCCTGAGGATGAAGGGCAACAGCTGATGTCTGCGGACCCCCAGGGCTGCAGGTAGCACCCCAGCCCCGTCCCCTTTACAATCCTGTCCCCTGCGCCTGCTGGAAGACAGGATTTGATGCTTCTAAGCGCCCTGTCTTCTTGGTGGGCTGGCCTTCTCAGTAAACCCTGCCTTCGTGATTGGACACAGCGACAGGCCGCTGGAGCCCAACCGGGTGTTTCCCGGTAACAGTTTCACTGCAGAGAAACCCGGGCCCCTCCGTAGTAGATGCTCCAGCCCTGGACCCTGTCTTCTGACTCAGACCTGGGCCCAGCCCCAGACCTGCCCCGTGTCTCACACCCCACAGCCCAGGCTGTTTTCGGCAGAGGGCAGCTGGCTGCCGGGCTCAGCACACTCGACGTGCCCTCCAGGCCTCCCAGACCTTCTGGTCTGTCTTGGGAGCCATGGGGTATGTGTCAGGCGGGAAATCTTCAGCCAGCCCAGGCCCTCCAAGTCCAAAAGGAGATGATGCCCTTGAGGTAGGTGGTCCTGCCTGGACCCTGGGTGAGGGCCTGGGGAGGGCACCGAGGCCCCACCTCCCACATGTCCAGACACTGGGCCGAGGTTTACCTGGCCAGGTCCTAACTCGCACACAGCCATTAGGGCCCGAGCAGCCTGCCCACTAATTGCTTTTGCTAATTGTGGACTCTGCCTCTCCTGATGTGTCCTCCTGCCGAAGACAGAAATAACCTGGCTCTGGGAAGGTCATTATCGTGGGCACTTCCTGCCGCCGCCGCAGCAGACGCTCAGCAGCGAGAGCGGGCCTGACTCAGCATGTACTGGTAGGTCTCAGCCCCGGGCCAGGGACCATGGGCAGAAGGTGCCTCACCGGAGCTCCAGAGCCCCCTGCCCTGTCCCCACAGCAAGTTTCACTCCCTGGAGCCCCTCTCAGTCCTCCGGGCTCACCGGCTCTCCATCCTCCTTCCCCATGTTCCCCAACTACTGGGAAGTCATGTGATGAAAGAGAAGAGGGTGGGTGTTTGGACAGGAGCCCAGCTGGGAAAAGGGGGGGGGGGCTCTTCTTCTTGATTTGGATTGGAGCCCCTGTAGCCTCTACCCACCCCCGCACGCTCACCCCCACCAGACCTGGGTCACTGGAGTGATTCAGGGGGATCCTCCGTGGGAGAATGAGTGTGGATTTGGGAGTCAGAAAACCTGCATTTCAGCCCCAGCCCCGTCCATTACTGACCGGAGACTGGATGAGCCCCTCTAGGTCTTCATCCAGCGCCCTCACCGCCAAGGGGACAAGGACGTCTTCGACACTGGGGTTTGGAGAGAGTCAAATGGGAGGAAATGTGCTCTGACCTCAGCGTGTGGCCCTGCCCGTCCCCTCCCTCCTCCTTCCTACCTCCTCAGGGCTCAGCTTCCTCCCTGCCTCCCTTCCCTCTCCCCTCCCCCTCCCCCCTTCCCTCTCCCAGCACCCTCCCCCCGGGGCCATGGAATCTTCCCTGGCACCTCCACACCCATCCCCAGCCTCCCACGTAAAAGGTCAGACGTCACATGTTGTATCTGTGCCTACATATCCTTTCTCCTGGCGAAACCCTTCAAGGTTAGCTCCAACTGACAGCCCCAGCTCCTCCACTTGCTGGGGAAACCGTCTCCATAGCAACCAGTTTGCTGCTTCCTCCCGCCTTCCTTCTTCCCCCAGAAGCCCGGGCCCCTTCAGCATCCAGCCACCTGAGCTGCTGCTTGTGTCTCAGGGACAGACGGGTGAGTCCCTCTGCCCAGTGGTTCCCATGGGACCTGCGTGCCATCTCACTTGGAAACCAAAGAAACCAAATGACTTGGATTCCTTCCTCCCTAAAATGCCACCAGGAATGAAAGGACTCTGCCTTCTTTGCAAACCAGGACGGTTAAGGCAGGGACGCAGGGCCAGCTCCATCTGGTCGCTGGGCAGACGGTCGGTCGGGGAGCCGTTGGTGAGGGCCGTGCCTGAGAAGTGATTCCCAGGAAGGGCTGAGCCCCTGCTAAGGAAGTGGGGAAGAGGCCACGGGAGAAGGGGATGGCGATCACCCAGACTGTGGGCCAAGTTCAAGCCAGGTTTAAATACTGCCGCCGGCTTCGGAGGCGCTGAGCAGAGTGGCCTTGTGCGTGCAGGCCTATCCGATAGAACACGGGATGCCCAGGTGATGTGCACGCCAGGTACCCTCACACGGGGTTAGTGTAACTATGTCCCTGACACTGCAGGGCACCTGGGTTTTGTTTGTTTCCCTCCTAATCTGGCAGCTTCCCGTGCATGGCCACAAAGGGACGGGATCTGGTGAGGTGCAAGGCCCAGCTCCCAGCTCGGGGGCTGTGGGCAGAAGCGCCACTGGGCAGGGCTGAGGTGCCAGCTGCTGGCGGGCCGTTCCCTCCCGCAGGCCCTGCCCCTCCTAAGGACCCCAGCTCCGTACTCCTCTTGATGCCCCACCAACTGCTCACAGCTCACCCAGCCAGCTGACAGAGCCGGAGGCGCGGGTGCCAGCCCAGCGGCCACCTGGAGCTCTGCGACCGCGGGCAGCCCTCCCTCTCTGAATGGTCCTTTCCTCGCTGGGGAATCTTCCTCCATCCTCGACCACGGTTTCGGCATCCCCGAGGGGAGGCAGGCAAAGCCCAGGGGAGAAGCTCTCATCGCAAAATTCCCCTTTACAAAGGCCAGAAATCCCATCCATCCGTCTGCGCGAAGGCTCTGAAGGATGGTCATAGCTCCCACATCATCGGCCAGCTGCCCATTTTTCAAGAAGAGGAAGAGGGAACCTTTGCCAGGGTGATACTCCCGAAATGGCCTCGCTCATCCATCACCTGTGCGGCCAGGACAGGAGAGCCATCGTTGCGAGCAGCCACGGCCGCTGGGCAGGCCAGCACTCCCCCCAGGAGTGAGAAGGAGAAGTGTGATCACCTGAACAGAGGCCTCGTTTGCCTGAATTACTTGTGTTCGCAGTGGGAGATGCTGGGAACGGGGTTGGGAAGGACCACATGAGAGTCCGTCGCTCCACCCTCACGTCTGCACCAAACGGTCCTGAATGTTGTATCACGGCTCCTGGTTCCTAAAACTTTCACGCAAACGGGCTCTTTCAAAATCTCAGTCCGTGCGGTCCAGCCTCTACACAGACCTGCGATATCACAGGACAAATGATATTATGATCCATGACCCCGCCTCCCACCAGCACCATGACCTGAAGGCTCGTTCAAGTCTCTGCTCGGTCAGCCCCAGGCACCAGCTATGACCTGCGTGACACCATCCTGTTCCTCCTTCCTCGGAGACAGAATAGGCCTTGTTCTGATCGGTGTGACCGACGAGGGTGCGGTGGCCTGGGGAGCCTCCTTCCCATCCTCCTCCCCGCACCCCAAACCACCAGCCCCTGGGGGGGCCCGGAGGTCTTTACTTTTCCTGCCATCGAGGGGCATGTGAAAATAAAAATGAATAAACAAACGACGACCCTTCTAGCCAATCGGTTTGGCTACCCTGCAATTAAACAAATGCGCAAACCCGAAACACATATTTACATCTCATTAGCAGAAGTCAAATGCAACAACGGCATTAAAATTAAGAAATTAGGCCCAATTATCCTGTCGGCGGCAGTTGGGAGAAGTTGTCAAGGGCTGGTTTATTCATTAGTTTGCACAGAAGTTCAGTGGCTTCCTAATCGTGTGCTATTTTTTATCCCCTCCTTCTCTTGCTTAAAAAAAAAATGTAGGAGGTGTTTTTGTTTCTCTGCAGAGCGGCAGACTGGATGAGTTGGCGAGACCGGGCCCAGGGAAGGCCCGGGGAGGGCTCACCCCGCTTCTGGGCTGTGTCATCAGGACCCAGCCGTGCCAGGCAGAGGTACGGATTAGAGGGGTAGGAAGGCCTGGGCACCTGCTACACCGCCCTCTCCAATGTCCGGGTCCCTGGGGGCAGGCTCTCCACTGACCCAGCGCACCTCCCAGGCTCACTGCCTTCACTGCCAGCCCCATGGGGCTGGGGTCCACTGGGAACACATGCTCTTCCTCTTGTGCCGGCAGCTGTCACCAGCCACAGCTCGCAGGCCAGTCTCCGTCTGGCCAGAGTGGGCAATGTGTGAACGTTGGTCGGGTGAATGAATGAAAATGTTCTTGACACAATCCTTTACTGCAGGTGAGAGGATTTCCTGGGCCCCTGGCCGGGCGCAGGTGGATGGCCTTGAGCTCGGAGGCGAGTGCCCGGCCCCGGCCCGCTTCAGAGAGAGACCGTCCTCTCTGGAAGCTTCTGCCCTGCTCCCTTCCCTGGATCCTTTGTCCTGGACTCCTGACCAGATTGGGAACCAGCTACAACCTACTGGCCTCCTGGTTGTCCTTCGTCTCCACGTGTCGATGCTCGCTGATGGCCTGTGAGCTGATGCTTCTTGAATCTGCATTTCGTAATTGCTTTCCTCTGTCTTCCACGCCAGCGGTCCTGCCTCTTCCGTCTCGCAGGCAAGCACTGACCTACATTTCCACAGGCACCGCCGTCCGTGATGCTGCCAACATGTCAAGTGGTGTTTAGTGCGATGGCTCCGCTGTGGTCTGGATGCCCGGCCCCTCGGGTTGGCAGCTCTCCCAGGCCAGCGTCTTCCCCACTCCTGTCAGCCGGGACTCCAGAGCCTGGGAGGCCGGGAAAAGAGGAAAGGCTTTCCCTGGAGGTGTCAGAGGGGGAGGCGGGTGGGGTGGGATGGTGGTAGGGGACAAG